GAAACGATAACAAATTAATTGCGAATGACAAGAGCCGAGTGCACACAAAGTGAAGTCCTCGAATTGTGAATATATTCCAAAAGACGCTCCGGCAATGGCAAATCCACACTCTGTCAGAGCGGGCCCGGATTAGCACCGCTTTACTCACAAACTACGGTGGGTGTCGGTCTTTAAACAAGTTCGCTTTCACTCAGTCGGAGCATTTACAAGTGACGAAGGTTTCATAATCGCATACAATGCGACATTGTGAAATCATGATTGAGGAATATGTGGTTACATTTTCCTGAACCATTACCTATCTGCTCGAACGTTCGTTTGGTCGCATGTCTTACGGAAATGGGGTAATTATGTTTCCGCGCATGCTGTAACCAGAGCGACGATTGGTTGAGTCTCCTGCTTTCATTCATTATCCGAGAAACGATTATGTAGAGACGCTGACCAAGAGTTAGGAGCACTGAGTCACCACTGCTTCAGGTCAGGTCAGACCCTCATCACTCATTTATATACAGGACACCGTGGCACGCGATGCTTGTTGATGCAGTTTAGTCTTGTCCTTGCGAGTGATTTACCGAAGTATGACGAAAAGAGCTGCCACAGGCTGGTAAATACACAGCCAGGCAATTTTTTGGTGCTATTTCGTACGATGCACATTTACACTTTATTCTTTGCCAGCTAACTTACGCTGGTCGATTTGATGTAAATGGGGTCGAGTCGATGTTGGAAGCTCACTTCACAACGCTCTTATAGATACTTGTATACAGAATATGGGACAAAGGAAGCTTGCAAATAGCGCTCAGACACGACTTAATTAAAAAGTCGTGTCCCCTGCGGCTCACTTCCCGTTCACAAGCCACAGATGGAATTTTGGTGCGCTCACCCCCGTGGAGACGTTGGTCTTCACCTGTCTAAGCAAAACTTGACGGTAAAGGCTGGTTATGAATGAATGATGTTTAGACATGGGATGACCCTTTCATGGGGATGATATGCGTTTGTATAATGGTCTGATGCGTGGGTGATATCCTCTGATCTGCCACATGGAAAATGTCCTCTAATCTGATGTATGGAAAATATCCTCTAATTTGCTGCACGTATGATTCTAGCCCTTGCAGCGTCCGGGCTCCTGGCTCAAGCGAACAACGGAGGCATTTCCATACTCAATGGAGCTGGCACATGATAAAAAACCATGAGTCACTTGCGTCCGTTCAGGCATAACCCTCGGTTCAGTCCGCCCTTCCCCGGTATCGGTTCCACGTACCACATGCGCAGTGAGTCCCGGGACCACAGAAACCTCACCACCCACCACCACGCACAAGGGATGGATCCGAACCGCTCCCCTTCCCATCCATTTCGACGAATCTCGACGCACGTGAACACTCTCGACGCACGTGAACACTTCCGCCGGTCCACCTCCCGTGCGGCTCCCCGCCGCGGCCGGCGCGCGCGGCGACGGCGGAGCGGGGAGACCGGACGAGCTCAGCGCCGGGTCCCTGCCCGTCCAGGCCCGGCGGCCGGGGGGCCGGGGGGAGAACGGCACGTGCCCGTCCCCCGTGGCGCCGCCGCCCCCCGCTGTAAACAGCGACCCGCCCGGCCGCGCCGCACACAAACTGTATATTTGTGTTGGGACACGGAGCCGCCGACCGCGCCGCCGCCCAAAATCCCGGGCAAAAGTTACAGGTGGGGAAATAATCAGAGCTGCGTCTACCTGGCGATGCCGGTCCCCGGAGGCGCCTCGGGTCATAGGTCAGGGGCTGGCGGGCCGCAGCGGTCACGGGAGCGGAACCGACAGGCTTTTCTAGCAGTCCTTTTGGATAGGGTAGGGCTTGTAGGACGCGACCACTTCAAAGATAAGGTGGCTGATCGTAAGGGTAGGGGGAGCGGCTGCACGAACAGAGTGTGGCTGCCGCCCCGAACTGTACAGGGGAAATACGCGGTGATTGCAAAAGTCTGGAAGCATTTGCTTCCTTCGCACATCACGCGTGCGTTGCATCTTTCTTGTATCTTATATCACGTACGGACATGACGTGTGAGAGCGTTATGAAATGAATGTCAGCTCCCACAATATGCCTTCCTCGACATCAAAGCACTCGCTGTCTTCAGCCCATAGAAAGAACGAAGTTACGGCAGGTAGAAGTATCCAACGCATGAATCGGAGAGGAGGATCATGATGCTGACTGTGGGTTTTCGTGCGTACCGGCTGCAATGGTCAATTTACACTCAGGGAGAAGAGGTTTCAATTGAGCGTAACTGAAGTGTAACAACGGGAATGGGAGGTTTGGGCAGCATGACAGTACGCTACGGTGCCTAAAACCTGTTTTTGAAGTTTTTAAAGATTTAATTCATATACTGTTGGCTTCCTCTCATGACAAGCAGCACGCCCAACCATTGTTTAACACCTCTAGCTCAGTAAGGGGTCAAACGGACTTTACTTTTTATGAGCGTTACTCTTGACGCAGCGTAACCACGCGCAACCGCAACGTAGCCAACAGGGTGTTTTCGACCAGCGTAACTAGTGCTTAACCGGTGACGGTGCCATGGCCAAAATGTATAGCATGCATAGACTACGCATAAAATGCGTAGTCTAGGAACTGCCTCTCATCTACTTTGTGTTCATCGATACGGCAACAAACCGCTGTAAATCAGGTGAAAACAAGGCAAAACAGCGGAGTTTCATATGTCATAATAATCATCTGTGAGAATTTTTCTTAAAATGGGCTTGTTTATATCCAGGGGAAGAATGCAGTTTTCAAGAAAACATCGCGGCTGGAGGCATTAGCGGAGAAAGTGGCTAGACCTACACCCAAAATGCACACAAAATCGGATTTCTCCCAGGATTTAACACGCGCTCTTTTCGAAGTTGAGAGGCCCGAGGCAAAGTTCGGTGGAGGTTCAAGCCCTCCCCCAACTGAAAGGAAAGCTATTCTCCTAACCGAGGAGACAAGTTTGGTTTTAGACAAGTTTTTAGACAAGTTGCATTTTTACTGGAGCAAAAAGTCTGCGATATTGGCGTAGCTAAAAATGGCACATATTAACCAAGCAGCATGCGAAAGTGGACAACTGAATGCCATGTTTTTTGTGAGCGGCTCAGCCGAACAGGAAAAGCTAAAAACCGTACTTAAAAGAATAATGGTATGAGACGGACCCGAGGGGCGGCCGATGAGGTGAATGTCTGCTGGAGTGAAGATCGCCGAGGATGTCATGGCTTTAAACATGGGATAAAAATCCGACATAGGAAGGATGTCGGATTTTGTCGATGCTGGATTTTGATGTCGGATGTCGACAGGACATCTATCAAATGCAAAATCACGGAACAAGTTCAGCCGCTTCGGATGACGCATGCGATCAATGCCTATGGATGATGCCTATGGATGATCAATGCCTATGGATGATGCCTATGGATGATCAATGCCTATGGATGATCCGTGTGCCTCATCTGCGCGCTCCGTGGGCTACATCCGGCTTCCAGACGACGTTTCTCCCGAGCGCCCCAACACTCGGTAGGCCGCATTCTTGAAAAGTCTTGCGATAAAACCTCGACATTCACGCTGTCTTGGTGTTGGTCGGATGTCGACAGCTACCCCATTTCCATTTTGAGAACGGAACTCTGTTCATGCGTGTGGGTGCTTGTGTTGAAAGGACACACACTTCAGACTGAAAGGATGGACTTGTTCCAATGTGTCCGCGGTCACCGAGCGGTCGGCGTAGACGCCAAGGCCGGACAAAAACACGCGTTTCTGTTTTAAAACCCTTTGTTGCTTTCAGGATGTTGCAGTGAGCTGCAACTGTAACATACTGCAAATGCAATGTCTTACGAATGTATGCATAAGAAGCAACGCAGATCACCAAGACCTGTACTGTCATTCGATAGTGCTTTGTAGACACACCAGACAGGTTTTACCCGCGAACTGCCAGAGAACTGTACCACGTCGCTGTATGCTGTTTTTTTAATCCGAGGCACATCGCCGTTTGCCTTCGCTCAACGGCTGGTTCACAGTCCTGCAATCCACGTGACTCGATTGCTCAGCATGAATGTGGCCCAGCCCTTCCTCACATACCAGTCCCCCCCCCCTGCCGCCGCACGAAAACTCCCCACTTCTCATTACCCCCCCCCCCCCCCCCCCTCCCCAGACGACATCTGCGACTTGGAACAGCCCTGCGCCAGGCAATCGCTTCATGCCATCAGTTGGCAGCCATTGTCTGTGCGCGGGCACAGCTGACCCGGATGGCGGCGCGCCTGCGTGGCTGCATGACTGCCGCAGCTCACACGGGTACCTACCTGCATGTGCGAGTGCGAGTGCCTCGCATGCCTGCATCACGCCAGATTTTGCTCGGACTGGTCTATATTGCAAGGTTTATGGTTAATTTTTGGTCCCCTTGCCTCAAGCAAAAACTCGTCAGCTTTTTCGGTACAAATGCACTGTTTTGTCGCCAAATTACCCTGCAGCAGGCAAACTGGAGCAGCTGTTCTTTCAAGACGAAGCGCAGTAATGCTGTTTACAATGTTCCTAGCCCAAAGGTAATCTCACCGGTCCCTGGTCTCTAAATATCGGAATTCTACGGCATTCGGCGCGCTGCGATTAGCGCCAACGCCGCTGCTTTCGTGACTGCCCAGGTGAAATTTGTTTAAAAGTGTTGCACCCGTGTAAATACACAAGGCTTTTTGCGGACGCGCAGTCTCCCAAACAGCCGCAACAGAAACCATCACGGGCTCATTAAACCCGGCTGCCATATAAACGGGCTCGTTTCTGGACGATCGGCACCTTTGTTGGCGCCACCAGGCCCCCACCCCAAAGCTGGGCGGCGCTCGTTTTTTCCGGGCACAAAGTGATCTTTGTGCCTACCACCGCCGGCCGCCTTTCCGCCTATTGGCGCTGCGAGGCCGGCGCCGCCCGCGCTGGCGCCGCCGCAACCCGCGGCGTACTGCGCATGCGCGGCCGGCGGGGGCGTGGCCTGGCCGACCGTCAGCCGATCTATGACATGTCACACACCGTGAACATTATCGCTCTCGTGTGGGCCGGGCGCTGGCGTTTTCCGAAAAGCCCGCGGTGCCGGCGGTGCAGTGGCCCTCGTGGAGCGCGAGAGCGCAAGTGGCCGCGCGCGCGCGAGTGCTTCTCACACTCCGGTGTCTCCGCGTCGCCTCTGCACTGGCGATTGCCGTAAACTATTTGGATTATTCTTTTTTACGGCCGCGACTGCTTATAAACCGATCCGACCCAGGATAAATATTATTAAATCTCCGTAAACAAAACACGCTGCGATGGACACTAGCAAGGCGGAGACGCAAGATGCGGCTTCGGCGACGCTCGGCGATGTCAAGTCATCGTACATGGACTACGGCCGCGAGCTACGCCCCCAGGCCATCCAGATCCCGACCATCATCGAGCACCGCGTCAGCGAGGAGCCGTCGCCGCTGCCCTACCCGCAGTACCCGCACATCTACGGTCACCAGAGCGCCCCGGAGCCAAGCTATGGCGCCCAGTCGCCGGCGCCGGACTATGGCACGCAGTCGCCGGCGCCGGCCAGCTACGGCCACGCCGGCGCCCCGGAGCCCGACTACGCCACTCAGTCGCCCGGCCCGGCCGGCTACGACGCGGCCAAGGCGGCCGGCTACGACCTGCCGCCGGCCGGCGACGCGTACGGCGATGGGTACGACATGCGCGCGGAGGGCGAGTTCGCGCGGCCGGTGGCCTGGCCCGGCTCGGAGGACGGCTTCCTGCCGGGCCGCGCTGAGTTCGTGCCGCACGGCGACGATCGCGGCGCGCTGCGCGACGAGGACGTGGGCCAGTTCCGGTACGACGCGGCGGCGTACCGGCCTGAGGGCGGCCGTTACCTGCGCCAGGGCTCGCCGGCCGGCGGCGTGGCCGCCTCGCCGCCACTGCCGCCCAAGTTCGAGCCAGGCGCGCACGAGGCGACGCACAAGCCGTACGACACGGACGGCCTGCCCGTACACAAGGGGTACGACGTGGACGGCATGCAGCACAAGCCATACGACACGGACGGGCTGCCAGTGCACAAGAGTTACGACGCCGACGGTCTCCACAAGGCGTACGACACGGACGGCATGCAGCACAAGCCGTACGATACGGACGGCATCCCCGTGCACAAGAGCTACGACACGGATGGCATGCACAAGGCGTACGACACGGACGGCATGCACAAGGCGTACGACACGGAGAGCATTCACAAGCCGTACGACACGGATGGCCTTGCCGTGCACAAGGCGTACGACGAGCCAGGCAAGTTCGACGGACTGGGTAAGCTGTATGAACATTCACCGGCGGGCGGCGCCGACAAGGAGACGTTCCCCTACTCGCCCGGCTCGATCAAGCAGACGACCATTAAGCTGGAGAGCCTGAGCACCTACGACGGCAGTGGCATGGCGCCGTGTGGCGAGGAGGTCGACAAGCCTGTGCCGGAGCAGGAGCAGCAGCCGGAGCCGATGCCACCGGCGGGAGCGGCGGCGGAGCCGGAGCCGGCGGAGAAGCCGACCAAGCGCGGCGCTCCCGGCGTCCGGCGTCAGGAGAAGCCCCCTTTCTCCTACATCGCCCTCATCCACATGGCGATCCAGAGCTCGCCGACCAAGCGGCTCACGCTAAGCGAGATCTACCGCTTCCTCCAGGAGCGCTTCACCTTCTTCAAGGGCAGCTACCAAGGCTGGAAGAACTCGGTGCGCCACAACCTCAGCCTGAACGAGTGCTTCATCAAGCTGCCCAAGGGCCTGGGCCGGCCGGGCAAGGGCCACTACTGGACGCTCGACCCGGCCGCCGAGTACATGTTCGAGGAGGGCAGCTCGCGGCGGCGTCCGCGCGGCTTTCGGCGCAAGTGCCGCCACCCGCTGAAGTCGTTCGGCTACTACCCGGCCAACAGCGGCATCGCCAGCAGCGGCTACGACCCGGCGCAGGGCCTGCCGGCCGCGCAGCCGCCCACCTACAGCGCCGACTACAGCAGCTACACGCAGCTCAGCCCGTCGTCCTGCACCTACGGCCAGGCGCAGGCCGGCTACAACCCGCTGATCGGCCTGGCCGGCTCGTACATGCCGGCGCCGCCCGGCGCCGCCGCCCCTGGCCCCGCCGGCTACGAGTACAACCTGGCGGCCGTGCCGCCGGCCGGCGCCGGCTACGGCTCCGGCTACGGCGAGAAGGAGGCGGCGTGGTCGGGGCTGGGCGCCGTGTCCGGCCCGCCGCTGACGGGCTGCCTGCGGCCGCCGCACAGTCCCACGCCCGCCGAGCAGGGTAAGCGTGACCGGTGACCGGCGCACTGCCTCCGGCCACTGACCTCGGCTGCGGTGGCTCAGTCACCTGTGGGTGACCTCATGGCTAGCGTGCCGCTGACCGTGTTCCGGGGGATGTGTGCCATATCCACCGATGGCTGAAGGTTTTGTCGTGGGGTTCATTTGCGATGTTTACGAAAAGTCAAGCCGAAATCTAAGTATTTCCATATAAATCCTTGCGAGAAGCCTCCACCTCTGGTAAGGCTTACTGCAGTATCAATCGAGACAGACCTATATGCGGCCAACTTGGCTGATAGCGACGCTTTAGCCAAATGAATCTGTCAGTAATCAATATTATAAATGTGCATCTCGGCAGCCGACGCCAGGTGTTTTATTTATTTACAGTGTTACGACTGAGCTCATTGGGTAGGTCACCGCTCCATTCGTTCACTCCTCAGAGACGGTTTGGCTAACTAACGTCTCGTCACCAATACACCAGCTGACGTTAACAGCGCGGGTAACTAACCCAGCACGCACGTGATCTGCCTTACTAGCACTTCAGCCACAGTTTACGAGCCAATGATGTTTCGGGGATGAATGCCAAGCGAATGGTTGGCTGTGTTTCAACAGTTGGACGATGCAATTTTGTCCAAGCCTGGCAAAGCGATTTTAAACGTCAGGTAGTAATGTTATGATGGCGTAGGTTATGGTGTAGTCAGGTGCGATGCTAAAGCACGTAGCTGAACTGCTTGAGTGCATGTTTACCGCCAGCTGTGCTGTGGAGGCGGCTGAGTTTTGATGTCTGGTATCAAGGAGCTCATGCCAAATTTGATTGCTGTCCTTTAAAAAAGAACGAAGATGGTGAATATCAATAGTACGATCATAAATGGCAAGACCGTTTAGAGATGCACTGGTGGGCGCTCCGATTATTTTCACAGGAATTTTAGTGCGGCTTCCTAATGCTCTCTGCGCATTTCAATGGTAGTTACTAGTCAGAACGACCCCGGTTGTGCCGCCTTTTACCCTAGCAGTTATGAAAACAAACGGCGATGATTTGCCGGGTGCGTAAAAGAAAGTGGAATGGTGTTTCTCTTCTTAGCTATAAAATGTAATTGCTCTTTGTTTATCTATCTGATTGTTCTCTAAAAAAGAGCAGACAACTTATGCGCTGTAGTACCTGCAATTCGTGTGTTTTATCGTTTTCCCTCATGGTAAAAAGCCTGCCACCAGGATTTTCAACCATCTGGGGGATGGTATGGTCACCATCTATTAAGGATGTTACCAACAACAGGTGCAACATTCATCAAGCGGTGTGCTGCATGTACTCAGTTCGCGGGTAGCAGTTCACAGTCAACTGGTGCTACGACGCCTCACGTCGTGGACACGAGGCGCCGTGCGTCTACTCGAAGCGATGGCGTCGCACGTCTACTACGCCTTCCCCATGCCATCTTTTTCAAACCGCACGGCAGATACCTTGCGTTCGATGATTTATGTTAATTGTGGCTATCGCTTGCGGTGCCTGATTGTGCCTTTCGTCTCATAGTCGTGATCTACGGTCGCTTTCTGGGTGCATCAATGTAATCGATTTGATGGCATCACATAGTCAACATTCAATTATTTAGTGACACCAATTTAGTTTTGTCACCAATCACGTGATAAGAGCCCTGATTAGTGGCAAGCTAGAAAAAGTCGGGATCATATCTTGATTAACAATTGGCTAATGCTCAGCCTGTCGACCTTGGAACACGTGATACGGAATACATGGATAAATGATGTTTGGGCCCATCAGTCACCATCGCCATCGCTCCAACACGATTCAATCATGACTCTACTGATACGTGCGTTGGCATTACATTCGTTGGCCGACTGCCAGTTTGGTAAACAAATTTCCTCTAAATTAATCAGCGGTGCAAACACGTTGGTGCAAATCGACTGAATGACATGAGTAGTCATGTCAAATTACGCCGAAAGAAAAGTGTGATTTTTTAGCCGGACATATCAGGAGCGTGGCATAGCATGCAAAATCTCGTGCTATATCTATGAACCTGCACATTTGCACGCGTCCGTCATGTATGATTGGGGTGCTCCCCGACCAAAGTTATGGGCGGCATTTTACTTAGAGCGCTGGGGCCTCTCTGCCCCTGAAAGCCTCTCTGGATGTTGGTATGTTTCCTTTTTTACAACCGAACAGCATTGACATTCGAACCATTGACCTCCAATTACTTGCCCCAAAATCTGCATCTGCCATGCACTGGATCTGTATCTGCAGCATTCGGGCATTTAGCAGCAGATACACGGCCGTCAATGGGTCAATAGCTAGGGTATAAGCAAACACATACGGATTTCAGCACCAGGACCAACATCGAGTCATCATTACATCGGATACCCACCGCGTCCGTTTTGACAACATAAAATCTTTCAGAGACATGGCAGCTTCTTACTAACGAAATTTTGATGGCATGGAAATTTACTTCGGTCAAACATCGATTTCCAGTGTGAGGAATCTGCCGAGATATACTTTTGAAATGTTCGCTTTGTTTTTGAAAAAAACGCTTTGTTCTGATATGCTCCCACAAAGCCAACCGGGGGACGCCTGGGGACAACGCATGTTGTTGGATGTGTCATATTGGTAGCAAGGAAGAAATGCACCAAATTGCAGTGCTCTGGCTGCAGCTGTTCTGCTTGGAGGGGGGGGGGGGGTGCAAAAAAATTGGATCGCGAGTCGAGCCTTGTGATAGACTGTGGAGGTAGAGGACATGTCCTCTCTCATTGTTTGAATGGTTTTGGCGAGAAGTGAATATCCTGGTTGCCATATATACCCACAGACTTGCCATACTACCTACAGACTCCCTCCCGCTGCTTAGCTTTGTCAACTCGAGTCATTCATATCTCTAGGCTAACAGACTACCTAGCTCCCTACAGCTATCATGCGTATTGGACCACGTCCTTGAACGGAAGGAATTTCACGACTGGGGAGGCATGTTGACAGGCTGGGGAGGCATGTTGACAGGCTGGGGAGGCATGTTGACAGGCTGGGGAGACTTTTCCTCCCCAGTGAGCATGTTCAAATATGGCCTGCATACATCGATGCTTTAACTTCTGGAAGCAACCTCTTACAATGCGTCATAAAAGCATTATCGAAAACAGTAACAAACTTAAAACAGCGCTGAAAAGCATCGCTTAGAACAGCGGATAACAGTTTCATGGTGCTAATTAACATCACAGATTTAATCATTGTGCACAATCCGATGACCAATGTGGACTGTTAACCATTATTAGGGAAAATGAAACTGTCGGCTGGAGAAAACGTTGACGGAACAGTAAAAATGTGCTTGTGACAAATTTAATGCGAACAATTATATCACACATCGTGGGTGGCACAAGCATATTTTGGCCCCTATGCCATTTATTTGGTAAGGGCATTTGCCTATTACCCCTACTCTGCATCCGCTCCGTCTGTCTGGAAAAGTTTGGCAATAGCACGACAAAAACCAACGGGGACCTGATGTATTCTGAACGAAAACACTGTTACTTGCCTCTCAACGCATTGTGCTACGTGACATGGTGATCCTGAATTACCCAACGCAAGCAAGTTATCTGAAGGAATCTTTTCACGTATGATTGATGAAAAAGGTACAGATGCTTGTAGCTGCTGAGTGCAGAGCATGGTTCTTAAAACTTAAAAGAGGATACGACAGGTAGGGTCAGGAAAAAGTACGTTTGAAGCGTTGTAAATGACAAGAAGTAAGCATCGGCACCTTGTAGACTGCGCACCTATGAAGCCAAGCTCTTAGGTGGGCAGTCTACAAGGGCAGTCTATTATCCACGCTCTCGGGGGTCCTACAGATAGAAAAACCCAGTCAATTTTGTTTCGTCCCCGCATACGAAATTCGGGTACGCCGCCACTGCTGCTTTCTGTTGTCTTTCCACTGGCGTGTCTGTCCTCTGACACCATCGCCTAATATCTGTCAGCCATCTGACTTATCTTCTCTGGCGTCTGTCTTTGCCCTGAAGCGATCTGTCTGCGCCCTGATCTTTGGCTGCACTGACTGTCGATGGATGGAACACCTCTCGGCAGATGTTTACCCCATACCCTCTATTCTACCGTGCATCTACCGTGTGATTCTCGATCTGTTCGTCTGTGATGACCCCCGCCCCTTGACACTTTCTTCTGACGTCTGTTCTCTGTTCTGTATGCTGGTGCGTGTCTCTTGGCACCTGTCAGCTGGCATTTGCTCTCTAACGCTCCTCTTTGATTTACGTTCACTGCCACCTGTCCGCCGGGCTATGTTCTCTGACACCCTCTGTCGACGTTTGCGCCCGACACCTATCTGCTCACGCTTGTCCTCCGGCTCTCAATATCAATGGCTACCCTTTGGCGCCTACCTGCTGACGTATGCTCTCTGACACTCTTCGTCGGCGTGTGCCTTCTGGTTCTCTGGATGATGTCTGCCCACTGGGGCCTCTCTTCAAGCACCTTTTTGCTGGCGGCTGCTCTTTAACGTTCTGTACTGCCTTCACCTTTCTGTCACCTCTCTACTGTCGTCTGCCCTTTAATGTTATGTGCTGCCTTTTCCTTTCTGTCACCCCTCTACTGTCGTCTGCCCTTTAACGTTATGTGCTGTCTTCTGCTCTCTGACACCTCTGCTAACGTTTGTCCTTCATCGTTGCCCTGGCATCGTTTTGTGCTGTCTTCTGCTTCTTCTCTAACACCTCTACTGTCGTCTGCTCTTCAACGCTCTGTGCTGTGTTCTGCTCTATGACACCTCTGCTGACGTCTGCCCTTTAAGGTTCTGTGCTGTCTTCTGCCTTCTGGCACTTCTCGGCTGGCATCTGTTTTCCTCCTCTGAACATTTCCGACGTCTGACGTTCATCTTTCTGTCTGTCGCCCCCTGCCACAGTCTGTCGCTCCTCTGTCACAATCTGTCGTCCCTTTGCTACAGTCTGTCGCCCCTCTGCCGCAGCCTGTTGCCCCCCTGTCACAGTCTGCTTCCCCTCTGTCACAGTCTGTTACCCCTCTGCCATAGTCTGTTAACCCTCTGCCGCAGCCTGTCGCCCCTCTGCGTGCCTCTCGCCCTTCTGTTGCAGCCTGTCGCCCCTCTGCCGTATTCTGTCGCCCCTCTGTCTCAGCCTGTCGCCCCTCTGCCTGCCTCTCGCTCTGGCCGCTAACCCGGTCGCCGCTCTGTCGCCAGGCTCGCCGGGCTCCCTGTCACCCTCGTCGGCTGACCCGTCCAGCTCGCTGTCGGCGGCCGGCGCCGGCGGCGGCGGCGGCTACACCCTGACGCCCATGTCGACCGCCTCGCCCCACATCACCTCGCACGGCCACCCGCCACACCCCCTGCCCTCCATGCATTGCGACAGCGAGTTCCCAGGTCAGTGACCCCGCCGCCCGTCCGGCGGCGGCGGACACGAGCCCAGAGGCGGCGGACGCGAGCTGGAGGCGCGCAGAGCGGCCTGGGGGCAGGGGGCAGCCTGTGGGGATGTTGCGGTGTTTGGGAAGGTCTGAATGGAAAGCGTGACGTTTCCAGCGGCTTTTTGCATACGTCGTCTGCGTCTACTTTATCTGCTGGCTTCATTGTGGAACCACGGCAAAACGACTTCTGGGTTGTAACAACGCTGGGTCGTTCGGAGATAAGTGCGATCACTAGTCGCATGTGAGCTTAAATTTTATCAACATATGAACCGCATGCTTGTTAACCAGGTCCGCGAGGCACTGCCTTTTCCCATTGAAAAGTTCCATGAGCTTAATATGCCAAGCCCACAGATTGAAGTGATGGGTCTTGGCAGATCAATGTTTAGTCATTCATTTAGCCCTTCCTTGAAAACGAGTTTGCTCAACAGTCCATGGTCGCTGACGAGGAGTACAGCCAGGACGATGCCGCAATTGACACTAACAGAGAGGCCGACAGGTCATTTAACCAGTTCCTTTTAACTGTCCTTCTCTTCCCGACTCCGTTTGGAAATGACCAGAGTGCAGAATTCGACAGCACCTCGTTTTGGTCATCAAAGAAGGACTGCAGGGCGGGGTTTTAAGCGCAGGCGTCCAACCTTTGACCACAAATGAACGCACTGCATGCAACGGAAGGACACAATACACACTCGCACTCCCGCCTGTCCGCGCCGCCGCGGCGTCACCGGCTGCTGGTGCGGCTCGGCGCCAGGTCAGCCAGACGCCTGGGGGCGGCAGCCAGCCGGGTAACGCTCCCCCCGGCTAGCGTTACCCGGCTGTGTTGTGATAACGGCGCCCGGAGGTGACGGGCGCGGTCTGCGCCGTCATGTTCACAGCCCCCCGGGAACGGGCGCAGGGAGGCCGCGCGGCACCAGCGCCAAGCGGCCGCCTCACAGGCTTTTTAAGAGGAAGAGACGGGGAAATGTCGCTGGAGACGTTTGTGCTAGAAAGAAACGAGGCGAAAGGAGAGAAAGGCGGAGACGTTCTCGACAGTATAAAGCTGTTTAAAATGAGCCACCAGCAGTATTGCCTCATGCTCCATATAGAAATCAAAAAGATACACAAACACGCACACACACACACACACACACACACACACACACACACATATATATATATATATATATATATATATATATATATACCAACTTCATCACTCTACCTCCACATGACCGTCTCCACAATCACTGGTTGAGCTTGCGGCTTCAGGTCACGGTGATTTGGGCCTAGAATCTGCATCGTTCATAGCAGGGCGTCCAAGGAGCGCATGCCAGGCCTCACTAGTCCAGCTTACATCGCAATTCAGCGTTGCCGGGTGACGTGGTCTGTTTTTTTAAGCCTGTCACGACAGGAGTTCAGCCGACACTGATTTATTGGTCGAATAGTGCATGTGGTCACCGCGTGCACAGGGCCGTTTGAACGCCTCGGGGGAGATCGCTGCAGTTCATAATCCAAATGTCAATCACTTGTGTCTTAGTGAAATGGCTCGCTATTACAGGGAACTGTACATGGATGATAATTTGTTTGTTCTCCTCAAGTATCTGCGAAACCGCAAACTATTCCGCAGTTGCAAAACGAAGAGGTCATATTTGCTCTACCCGATTTTTTTTCCAGGAAGAGGCAGGAAGTAAGCTCTCATATACCTGGGGTCGACTGGCCCGCGTTCATCTCCAAGGATTGCGGTCAGCTCATGGCCCGGGCATATTGAACAATCAAACCGTAAATCCTTACAATCGCGTCCCATTCTTGGGATCGGTTGAGTCGAACATCACTTGCTCAGGCTCCAGACATTTGTTTGTAAATGACAAGTAAGCCCCCACAATCGCCCGCACAATGGTAGCTTTGCCATATCCAAAGCGATTGACTTGCAAACTAAACTGATGCAAGCGTGAGTTTTCGTTCCATGGCTCTATGAGGCGTTTTGCCAATATTGCCGCAAAATAGCAGGGGGGGGGGACGGTGTAAAAACAATAGTTTTATTCCAAATTGTAAACTCTTGCCTCACGCCCCCAGCCTTGTCTTGCATGATGTGCGGGCGAGGCCATTCTCGGTGATGTCAAATCTGGGCTTATACCGCCGCTGTTTTAAAGACCGATTGAAGAGCCAGCAACGGGTTTCTTCAGTTCATCAGAAGTGTTCGTTTTTTACAACTCCATCTAATCGGCTCACTTTAACGTATTATATTTTCGCACGGAGGCGGCCCCCCCCCCCCCCCATCGCTGAGCACCCCTTCAGGGAAACCAGACGTTCACCGCCCCCCCCCCCCCTCCCCCCGCCGGCTATTCCGAGTTGGCTCGCAGACCGGTCTAGGCACGCAGACACTTACCGATTTAGTCCGTTTACCCGAGTTCTCAACAGTTTACCGGCGCGCGGTGGCAGTTTATTTGGCGCGCCCGGGGAGTGGATAGATTGATGCATTGTACCAGGATGCTCCCGCAGGGTGGCGCGAGGCGGTGAGTCGCGCCCGATCCGACGAAATCCATATTTCGGGCTGGGGCGTTCATCACGGCACTCAGGCCTTGTTTACTGGAGGCTTCCAAAGCGGGGTCCGAGTGAAGAGGCACTGATGCATGCTCGCCGTTAGGTTCCGCTTCAGTCCTGTCGGCGACCGCGGTCAACCGCTGAACCCCCTTCCGATGCGCTTCTGCGTCAGAGGTGACCTGCCAAAAGGTTCTCGGACCTTATTTTTTTATTCTGAAGGTCTGTGCTATTGAATAAAACACCAGTGCCTTAAATGGATATACTGTCTTGACAGTATGCAGACCTCCCAACCCATCTACGTATGTATCGTGTGTGTTAAGTAATCAACATGGCTTCCTTACCAAGATCCTGAATTGTTAACAATATTCCTACTTCATTTATTCTGAGAGGAACAGGAAAATTTGCTGTAAGCCATTTAGCAGTCATAACATGCGACGAAGTGATTACCATGATTTATGGCGGAGAGCAATCTCAAGTAGTCCATGAATGCACGCAAAAAGAGTGCTTACGACATTTGCATGAAACCGATCCGTCCCAATTATTTGCTTTTATTCAGGACATCAGACAGCACGACGCAGAAGTGCGTCAGCCGGCGGCATGACCAAGTGCAATGCCCGAACATGTCCACTCCGCTGCACTCGTCACAAAATGGCTCCGAGAGAACGTGCCTTACAAGCAGGTGGCGTTTGGTTGGAAAGTATCTGCTACCTATTTTAAACTGAAGCTTTTGCGGCCGAGTTTACTTCGTTATTGTGAAGGAGAGTCCTTATGACCTTGGCCAGCGGTCACCGAAGCTAAAACCGTCCGCCTCCCATCGTCTCTGGGCCGTAGGCTGAGCTCAAGGTTGCTTGCATGCACAGAAATCGTGCGTTCTTAAACTGCTTAGTGGAACCAATTTATTGGCAATGTGAATGTGATTAGACGTCGCCTTGTCCTCCCTCGTTGAGTGGGGTACTGCCAACTACCATATGTTTCCATGCTTGGGGAATGGCACGACACCATCCCATGGAAGTTATGGGATGTACTGGACCCATGTTTAATTCTTGATAACCCACCAATCATCCATCATAATCAAGAACGTCGTCAATAAAATTGAAGCGGTGAGCACTGAGTGCTCTATGGCAAACTGGTGTACCCCGTAACCGAACTGCTGCGTTATTCTATATAATCTGCAGGGGAACTTTTTTGCCACTCCTCGGCTCCTTTCACGGCTCAATTTTTCTAAGCTGAGACAACATTTCGTTGTAGAAAGACGAGACCTTTAACCTCCTAACCCAACTTTTGCCGCAACTTGTTCTCAAAACTTCCTCCAACGACAAGGCTTGTAACTTCATTAGTAACACTTTTACAGAGGCGAGATCCGGATGTCAAGCCATTCGAGTGAGCCATACAACCCCTTGAGTTTTATATATTACAGCTAAGTCCGACGTGTTAAGTCCCTATTCCCTCTTCAATATCCTTTGCCAGCACCTGTTTGTCCTCGCGCTAGGCCGGAGACGTTTCCAAAATCCTATACTGAGCCGTGAACGTGCCCGGCCGACTTGAAGTCATTGACAAAAAGCAATTAGTGCCACCTCAGTGTGACCAATGTCAAATGACATGACAGCCATAACAAATGTCACCTTCTTACATTGTATTCCTCAAATGTCACTCCTTGCTCTAATTTTCAACGCAAAAAATTGACAACGAACGTGAAAATAGATGCAGAAGTTAGATATACCCACTGGGGCCCTCTCGATGGCGAAAACCAAGCTGAGATATATCCACTCTTAATTGCGGCTAATTCTGCTCCATTGTCAAAAGCTGAGTCCATCCAATAAAACTATCACCGAAATTGCACGGTCTCAACATTTGATATACAAATGCCTGTTCAACAGAGTTGTAGGCATCCTTAAAGTCGAGTGCCGTCAATAAGCCTCCAACGTCTTTTTCTTCACATATATGGAATGCATCAGCTACTACCCTCAAACTCGTGCCGATTTGCCTGTTTCTGATGCCACCCGTTTCGTCCTCGGATACAAGCTTATGCATGGTTCGCGTAAGCCGGTTTGCTAACGCCTCAGCGACAACTCCATGCACCATATAAAATAGGCATATACGATGTTTATTATCTAGTTGAGTCTGAACACCCTTCTTTGGGATTGGGGTTATTACACCACTGCGTTATGTGACGAAATACTGACCCTTGTCCTTGGCTTGGTTTATATGCCTAGCGACTAGGCTACCAATATCGGCCCAGAAAAATACGAAGAAGTCTTTGGTATACTCTGATACTGAAGGAGATCTGTTGTTCAGCATACCTTTAAGTGCGCACGTACATTCTTCATTCGTTATTGGGCCGTCACATGAGCCCTGTCAATTTCACTCAGTTGTGGGCACCCTGGCCAATGAAAACTATCGACATGATTTGATATGACATTGCCAAAATCCAAAGATCCCTTCCTTGGCTGGTAAATATATTAATAATACTCATTACATAATCGCAAGATTTCCTCACCATCCGACGTGAATTTTCCATACCCTCTCCACAACCTAGCAATGACTTTTTCGCCACCCTTCTCGTGCATAGACTGAAGAAGTACCTAGAAGGGTTTTCTCGATGTTCTTAACAACTGGCACTTGAAAGTAGGATTGCACGTTTCACATTCTCCTCTTCATAATCATTCAGGCCTTTCGTTAATCATTTGTATTCGTGCACCATTCAATTTCTCTTTCCAACTTCGATTTTACCCCCGCTGCTTGCCCTATTCTATCTCTTTTCTGTCTGGCAATTTCCTTACTTCCTCTTATAACTTGAGTTTATATTTAACCAGATACCACTTGCAACCTTAAGCCCAAATCTTCAACAGTCATGTAAATGCTTAAACCTCTCAGTAACTCGTTAATCGCCACCTAGTCTTTTCGCACAACTTCTCCGTCATTGCAAGTAAAATTATTGAAGCGCCACAATACTAGCTGTTCCTGAACGGAGCGCAAGCATGACCCGAAAATAACGACGCGATGATCATTTAGAATTCCAGTCTAAATATCTGTTTTGGGTGTCATGTAGTTCATGACCAAATATTTACAAGCAACTATAACATTGATCCGAGACTGCTGTAACGGCCCTAGGCGGCACCAGGTGCATTTAAGAATGCCATGGAACCGCAACCTCCAAACGCCTTCCAGGCCAAAAGTTTTCAGAAAACACGACAGGGCCTTTACGACTCGTGTGACCCGGTACCGCTTCGGACTGACATCAAGTTCACGTAGATGTTCGCTGCAGTCCCCTCACGTCAAAATAGATTTTATATCATCAGCAGACAAAGCCTCCAACTTCTCACACATACTCTTGTAAAATTTTACATGAGCCTTGCCATAGCCCTGGGTTGGTGGAAGAACAGCAAACATATTTACGACGAACGCATCCAAACTGTAAGTCGGCGAGAAGAAGTCCCCCCCCCCCCCCCCCCCTCCCACCACTGTCACAATACAAATCGGCTGCAGCACAAGCGCGCGTTGGCAGCAAGATAACTACGCCTGAATCATCACATCTCGGGCTGTGGACGTACAGAATGTTCCCACCCCGTGCGGCTCCAAATTTTGACGTCTGATGACCGTGAATGCGTGTCCTGCAAAACGGCGATGTGATTTGCGTGCGCTGTATGTAGAAAAAGAATATTGCACGACTTTTACATTTTGTTGCGTGCCTCTAGCATTAAAAGAGATGAGCTTCGCATCATCCATACTTTCACGAATGTGAATAAATGGAGGTAAAATATGATCGCATCCTTCAGTGAGCATCTAACTTGCCGTGACTACAATCGACACGTCCCACGGCTCAGATGTCTCGGGGAGTGCAGCCTTCGTACTCACAATGCCACGTGAAGCCGTCGCGACGTACGCCACGTATGACCTCGGTCATCAGCCAAAACAGCGGTCCAGGTGCGCCGGTCCCCGCACCGGTCAGCTGATGGGCCCTGGCGGCTGGTCGGTGAAGCAGCTGCTAATTGCCAGGGGCAACACAGCGCACAGGCGGTCTCGACACATCAGCAAGGACGGCAGGAAAGCGCTCTGTACGCAAGCATCGCGCACACACACAAATAAACTCGCCACAATCTCTACACATCAGCAATGTGAAGGGGCAGTGCCGGTATGTTAGGCAGAAAAGCTGCGATTTCCGTGTCTGGGCCGTATGCGGCACATCGTCCAGATATTTGGATGATGTGCATCATCACATATTTTTCATCATCATCATCATCCAGATATTTTTTGCATTTCATATAATTCCTCACCCCAGTCATCTGGCCGTACTCAAACAGGAAAACGAAGATCTGTCCCTGCTGGTTGGACACATCATGGATAGGACCCTGCCGTTTTGTTCTACGTAATCTAGTATATGCCGCCTCCGCCCTCCCAAAAAATGTTCGCTGCTGCACAGCTGTTTATTTCTGTTACGCAGATGTCCATTCCTATCCCTACCTAATGCGACCCGTTTCTGATGAATTATGTACCGCACACTGTTTGGGACCACACGCAAGAGCTGACAGACATCTTTCCTCCCCTTTCTAACGCGGTAAACTTGAGCAATGTCATCGGTGCTCACCTCGCGGTTGGCATTTACGTGTGGTCTTAACTGCCGTCTCCTCCACATTATCCTACTACGACACCTGGTCCCTCAAAGATGAGGTACGGAGGTCTCTGTCCATCTTCAGCTCCACGACGGCATCTTCCACTTCTGAGATCCTCGCGTTTTGTTGATCTATAGCATGCTGAAAAAACTCAGCTCCGCGCCCTGGTTCTTGACATGCTTCTCCAGGTTGAGCATCCGCTGCCTCATGCCGACCAGCTCCTGACGCACTTGACGAATTCCTCCATTGTTGGTGTCAAGATGTTTGCCAACTTCGACAGCCCCGCCCTCCGGAGCCCGGGCGAGACGCCGTTGGGACACGCGTCCCATTCATGATCAGTGAGGACCTCCGTCTCTGCATTCCTGGAGGCCTCTCCCGGTCGTTTATCTCGTTCTTCCGTGGTCTTTTCTTTCCTGGTGTTAAGGTGGTCAATTATGGAGCGGGCCGTCGTCTGGCCTCGGCTGGGTCCGCCACTGGCTCAACCCACCTGACCGGTCGGCCGGCGCTCCTGGCCACCTGTGGTACCGCGGTTCGAGAGCTGCGTATGCTCGGTCGCTCGGTACACTCGGTCACATGGTGCACTCGGTCACTTGGTGCGCTCGGTCACTAGGTGCGCTCGGTCATTGCTCGGTTTCGTGTCCCTTTTGTCTTGCTTAAGGCCCATTTTCCATTAGGTCCGGGTCGAGCCGCAGAACACGGAACAAGGCAAATAGGCAACTCAGCAGAAGCACTTGGATTAAGTAGCTGTTTTGGATTTGACTTGTACTTCTCGATTATGGGACAATTAGACGTCAGAAACAGCCTTATACTTCGGAGAAAAAACAGGAGAATGGAGAAATAGATGCATTGATATTTAGGCAACATGTCTTTGTCGAAACAATAGCAGGCGTTACTACCGTCCTATCTATGTGCATAGTGCTCCTCGCAAATGCACTTCACAATTTACGTCATCAAGGAATAACGGCTTGCTTTTACTGGAGATTAGCCTGCAGTGACCAGGAAACAAATCCCTTGGAACGAGCGGGCAGTCAAATGCTCTGTCATGGTTTTTGTCCGTCTGTGTCCGCCAATTTCACCAATTAACAAATTGGTGAATGTGATTGACACGGCCATGTAGCTTTCTAAAAGCGTGCGCTGTTTCATTCGTATCCATACGACCGCGACTGAACAAGCTCATTTCGTTTAAAAACATCGGCTTCAAGCGGAACTGCCATCGCATCCAAATGCACCTGGTTCACGAATGCTGACCAACGTTTATTGGGCCATTTATCGATGTAACCAGCACGAGCCACGATACCGGCTCCCGAGCATCGCGGGGAGCTCGGGCCCCCGTCATTCGGCGCGCGGCTACAGCGCGTGCCGCAATGGCGCCAGCCGGCACGTGCCCGCCCCTGGCTCCGCCCACTAACGCTGACGTCACCGGCAGGTATATCCGGCCTGCCGCCGTCAACCTGTACGACAAGAAGGCCATGTTCTACTACCCGGTCACGCCCAGCTATGACGTCACGAGCGGAGCGCCAATCAGCACCTACTACGACAACGGCATCAACTCGTACTCGGTGTCCAGCTACTCGACGCAGTGATCGGGTGCGAATTACCCGAGGCCGAGTCTTTCCCCGACTTTGGGCGCCGGCGAGACTGGGAATTCGGCCGCGGAGTGGCGCTAGTGATGGGATCGGAGGCGGGTCGCTCGGAGTCTGCGGCTGACTTGGACTTCGATGTGCTCTGTCCAGGCCTGGCACCTCGGTACAATCAGCCGGTCGCTGGTATTGTTCGTCACTTTCAGCTGCTGCGTCGTTCGCAGCGGCGCAAAGCCGGAGGGCGGCTGCGGCGTCTTGTCGGCTGATCCGAGCCCCTCTTCAGCACGCTGGCGACGCCCCTCCGGCGGCGCGAGGTGATCGATACCGATAGCGATTTCCGGCCGTCGACCGACCGGGCCGTTCAGCAGCGAGCACGCTCTCTCCCCCACGGGGTCACGGGTCTCGCCCCGGGGCAGGGCCAGTCACCGCCCGCGGGCATGCCGCGCACGCTCCGCCAGCCCCGGCCGTTTTAATGGCGCACCGCTGTGCGACTTCGCGTGTGCATTTGATGTTTGTATTATTTTAGCTTCAGTGTTGTCGTTCGCCGCTCAAGTGTGGGTTTCGTTATTTCGCCGGTGCGTTGGCTGGCAGAGCCGTCAGCGTGCTCGTCACGAGACGCCGTTCTCGGAGACGCTGACGCTGTCGGTGACGCCGCCCAGAGCTGTTGCAATAAACATTTCAATATGCCACGGTCGCTTTCGAACAGAAGTGCGCCTCGGAACAGCATTCTTCGAACTCTGAACAATGAAGCGGGATCGCACGAAAGGCAAACAGTTACAATGGTTACAATGGCCACTCGTTGAAGTGTTTGCTTCGTAGAAGTGTGCTCAGAGGCAGCACCAGCGGGGAACTGGGAGAAGACGCATCCTCTATTTAGTTGTAAATTTTATATTACGCCTATGTTGACGCATGGAATGAATGAACAAAAACACATTATCATCTCTGCTGCAACTTCCTTCCCAGTGATTGGTCGGTAGCACCATCCACAACTTTCGCTGTATCAAGGATTAAACCTACTATGTCGTTTGGGAACAAAATGGTAAATGAACCAAGGAAACGGCGAGAAAAGTCTGCATTTTACAAGCAACATGTAATATGTAATGATTACCTGGAAGGTCAGTGATGAAAGCCATAGCTAATGTACCAGACCTACGCACGGATCCAGCATGTGAT